CGCCTAGAAACGCCGTGTGCTGTTCCCTCATTGGCTCCTCGCTGCGTCCTCGGGTCGGGCTCTTCCGGGTGGGGTGGCTCCCGGAGCTCTGGCGGTCTCAGGAGGGGCGTCCTCCACCCCGGAGTTCCAGAGCATAGGTCTCCTCACACGTCAGGAAAAGCTAAAGGTACTTACCACCTCAGAGACCTTCTAGAAGGCGCCACACGTCTAGGAAAAGATAGAATCAAACAGAGATGTCACCGTGCTAGACCCATGTGCCTGGACATTGGGAGGCTTTTTATCATCAAAATGTGACTTCTGTCATTCCTGAGAACATTGAGGCATAGTACTGTCAACCTTAACTGTAAATAGCCAGTTATTTCACCAGCAAACAGTTTCTTTAGGAACAGGAATTTCAAGTCGGGATAGGTACACTGGCCAACGACAAGCAAGTCTGAAGAGAATAATGGAACGTCAGCTTTTATTAGGTCTTAGAAGGAGATTGGAGGGGGCGGCTTTCAAAAAAAGGTCACTAAAGAAGAGGTTTTGAAGTCGTGGCTGTTTTTCTTTGGCTGCATGCCAAGTTTAGTGTATTCTTGCGGGCACAAGGAGCTATCATCTTTTCTTTTGTGTAAAGGAGATTACAATCCTAACAAGAAAGCATGCTCCCTTATCAAGATAAAAAGTATCTCCTTCCTCCTGCTGATTATACATGCCCTACATGTGCGAGATCTCCCCTTTCAGGGCCAACTGACTCCATGTCAAATGTGGTTTCCTTTACTAATTTTCAGAGTATTTTGGAGGGAGAAGTAAAGAGGACATTTAGGGCAACCGGAAAAGTTAAAACGAAAGGGAAATGCAAATGTCACGTTAATTCACTGTTCTAACAAATGTGCTTTGTGCTCATACTGGGTTTTCAGAACTTTGTGTAGGTGTATGGGAGAAATGCAGGCACAAGAGAAGTGGTCCTGCCTTCATGTGACTTTTATTATGTTCATGGAAGGACAGGAAACTTGGACGCAGAAATATGAAATCTACTTTAGAATGTGGCAGGTGTGATGGTAACAAGTGATGTGGTTTTGGAATATAGGTGAGGTTCAGTGGGGTTCACCAAGAATTCTTGAGACGTCTTTGGTGCAAAATCGTGGTTTATTAAAGCAGGACCCAGGGGCAGAAAGAGCTGCTGCCCGGGTTGTGAGGTGTGGCTGGTTATATGTTATGGGGTTGGGGAGGGTAAGGAAAAAGGGAGGTTTCAAAAGAACTTTCATATGTTAAAGAAGACTCACAGTATACTGGAGGCCTTGCCATTGTCACGTTAAGGTTGTTTACCCCTCTAAGGCATTAACAGTAAGATAGTTGGGAGCTTCCTGGAGGAACATTATATTTTGCCTGCTTCAAATACCTGCCAATGGGCTGCAGATTATAAAGACATTTAATTGGGGGCGCCTGGGTGGCTCAGTTGGTTAAGCGACTGCCTTCGGCTCAGGTCATGATCCTGGAGTCCCTGGATCGAGTCCCGCATCGGGCTCCCTGCTCGGCGGGGAGCCTGCTTCTCCCTCTGACCCTCCCCCATCTCGTGCTCTCTCTGTCTCATTCTCTCTCTCAAATAAATAAATAAAATCTTTAAAAAAAAAAAAAAAAGACATTTAATTGTATTTACATTCCCTTCTGGAAGCTAGACCATTGATAGAAATGCTTTGTTCTTATAAATTCTAGGTGTTTGGTAAATTGAGGGAGACTCACGTCTTGTAGGATTGTGAGCACTGTAAGCTATTTGTTTTTCCTTTAGAGCAACCAGGAGTGCCTGAGGAATGTCACATATATCCCATGGGGTTGGGAGGTGTGGGGTGTCAGCTTCTGATTTGTCCTCAGCTTGCCTTTTGTTCCCTCATCATTTCCTCCCTGAACAATTTTGACTCTTAAATCTTTAAGTTTGTTGAAGGTGGAAGGTTTCATCTTCTGTAAAGTCTTCCTACTGAATAGGAGTGTAGAGATGTCCCTACCTATGGGTCAGTATTGCTCAGTTGGGGAATGTATGGGGAGTTACAAAAGTGGGAGGCAGCTGAATCTATTGCCGTCAACATAGATGAACCTCCTTGAGTAGAAAGGATCATCTGTTAGCTGGAAGGTACGGCAGTGAAGGAGTCTTGACACTAGGCAGTGAGCCACTGGAAATGACAACAAAATAAGGTTAATATTATAATGAGAAATAGATAAGTCTGAATAAGAGTCCTTTGATAGTTGACCTCTGATAATTTTCCTCCAGTCCAGTTTAAAGCAATCATTAAAGGAAAGAGATCATTTAAAGCACCAATTTGAGTATTCATGTCAGTTAGAAAACCAGAAATATTTTGTGGTAATCTGGAACATATATACAGCATTCTGTTTTTATGCTAGCACAAGTTTCACCTTGTGTAACAGTTAAAACATCTAATGCCCTTCTATTATGTAGAACTACTTCATGCATTTGCGTTACTTTAGTATTTAATGGAGAAATATTATTTTGAGTGTCATTTAGGGCTTTGACCAAGTACCTAAGAGTTTCCATGTGCCAAACAACATTGTCCAGGGGCGCCTTGGTGGCTCAGTCGGTTAAATGTCTGCCTTCGGCTCAGGTCATGACCCCAGGGTCCTGGGATGGAGCCCCACATCAGGCTCCCTGCTCGGCGGGAAGCCTCCTTCTCCCTCTCCCACTCCCTCTGCTTGTGCTCCCTCTCTCGCTGTGTCTCTGTCAAATAAATAAATAAAATCTTTTTTAAAAATTGTTTAAAGTAAATAAATAGGGGCATCTGGGTGGCTCAGTCATTAAGCATCTACTTTTGGCTCGGGTCATGATCCCGGGGTCCTGGGATCGAGCCCAGCGTCGAGCTCCCTGCTCGGCGGGAAGCCTCCTTCTCCCTCTCCCACTCCCTCTGCTTGTGTTCCCTCTCTCGCTGTGTCTCTGTCTGTCAAAATAAATAAAATCTTAAATAAATAAATGAATAAATAAATAAATAAATAAAATAAAGAACATGTATGTAGGGGTGCCTGGGGGTGGCTCAGTTGTTAAGCATCTGCCTTTGGCTCAGGTCATGATCCCAGGGTCCTGGGATTGAGCCCTATGGCTCCCTGCTCATCGGAAGGCCTACTTCTCCCTCTCCCTCTTTGCTCTCCGCCCCCACCGGGTCAAATAAATAAAATCTTTAAAAAAAAACAAAAAAACATCGTCCAGTTCCAAAGAGGGAACAAAAATGGATGTTACGTGTTTTTACCAGTGAGACACAGAACATGTCCACCATCATTTTACATTTGGAAGGTTGACCAGGTTGATAATGGTTTTAATAATACATCCGTGCATCCAGGCAAAACCTAGAGTACAGTGGCCTATCCAGCCTTGGGGAAGCCATGGACACGAGTTAGAGCCATATAGCCATTAGGTCCTGTTAGGAGACAGTCATCGAATTCTGGGCCTCCTTTAACTGCAGTGAAGATATCAAAGGCTATTCAGTTTTGGAGGGCCATCTTTTAAATTTGTGTAATAAAAGAGAGTCTGTTGTCACCTTGTAGGGACCACGGGAGTCCAAACCTAGGGACAGTTTTTCTTAGCAAAGTTTTTGTCACCTCCATGGCCTTTTTGCCCAAATCAGTACCCTGGTGTGTATCCTGTATTACTTTCCATTGGTTATTTTTGGGTATAAAGATTTTTCCCTTCATTATTAACAAGCCAGTCTTGTGCATTTCTTGGTCTGAATAGACTGGACTTATGGACTTTATTGGAGTTCAGACTGGTAAAAGACTTAATATTTGTTTATTTTGTGCTGCCTGCTTGGCTGCACAGTTTACCAAATTGTTTCCTTTAGATTCTAAGGTCATATCCTTTGATGTCCTTTGAGGTGAATTATAGCTACCTCCTTAGGTAGGTGTACAGCCATAAGAAGAGTAATTAATTTCAGTTCCATTGTGATTGGGGAGTTATGGCTTGATAATAATCCCCTTTTCTTCCAAATTGCTCCATGGACATGCAGAGCTAGGGAAGCATATTTGGAGTCAGTATAAATATTAACGTTTAAGGCTTTGGCAATTGCAAAGCACGAGAGAGCACTGTAGCATACCCAGCTTTTCTTATTCCCTTTTCCATGAAACTACTGTCATCAGTAAACCAACTGTCATCTGTATTTTCAACAGGGGCTCCTTTTAAATCTGGTTGACTGGCATCAACAAGATCAATAACCTCTCAACAATTATGCTCTATAGAAGTATAATGATCAAGTCCAGGCATAAGGGTAGCTGGGTTTAAAGTTTGACAGGTTTCAAGTATTATTCCAGACATATTTATAAGTGTAGCCTGATATTTAATAAGTCAACCTCCCATCATCCATTGATGGCCTTTGGTTTCTAAGACACTCTGGACCGGATGTGAAGTCATTACAGTCAGGAACTGTCCCATAGTGAGCTTTGAGGCTCCTTTTACTGGGAAGGCTGTTGTAAGCTTAGCTAAAGCCTTTGTTTGCAATTGTACCTCAATAGAGGTGGCTTCCAGGATAAATACGACTATGAGGGTTGAAACCATCAAGAAGCCCTTTTTGTTTAAGGTCCAGCCTTAACAATATCC